TATGTCTAAGAGCATGATTTGCTACCATATCATCTTAGCCCGCTGCCACCGCTGCTTAATATTGAGCGACTTGTTTATTCGACTGAATTATTCGACTGAAGTATTCGACTGAAGTATTCGACTGAACTTTTCGACTGAATTATTCGACTGGATTATTCGACTGAACTAACTGACTGATTTTATCGACTGGACGAGGCCACATGAAAATGTCAAATACCTCATCCCCCCCCCCCCCCGCCCCACCCCATCCCCTTTCTTAGTTCATATCATATATAGGGACTCTATTCTTTTCGAGGCGGACAAGGACAGCTGTCTAGTCGTTCGGATGGGACGAAAAACCGAGGTCCCGTGTAAACATTGGAGTGGACGTAAAAGATCCCTTTGACAGATGGAATTCGATATAAGAGTAGGCCGTAGTGCCGCTGTCCGGGCAAAATTTCCCTCATCGCACAGTGTATGGCGTCTGCCCGTCTTCATTAGCCCAGTTCCAAGCAGAACAGAAGGACGTTAAACCCCATTACATTTCTTTTCATTTCTTGAAACTAGTTGGGAAGCCCCCCGGTCACTACCCCATGCCCCCGGCTCCTTCAGCTATGGCTACGAGCATGATTTGCTACTATATTATCTTAGCCCGCTGCCACCGCTGCTTAATATTGAGCGACTTGTTTATTCGACTGAATTATTCGACTGGATTATTCGACTGAATTATTCGACTGGTTTATTCGACTGAACTTTTCGACTGAATTATTCGACTGGTTTATTCGACTGGATTATTCGACTGAACTAACTGACTGGTTTTATCGACTGGACGAGGCCACATGAAAATGTCAAATACCTCATCCCCCCCCACCCCCGCCCCACCCCATCCCCTTTCTTCGTTTATATCATATATAGGGACTCTATTATTTTCGAGGCGGACAAGGACAGCTGTCTAGTCTTTCGGATGGGACGAAAAACCGAGGTCCTGTGTCTACATTGGAGTGGACGTAAAAGATCCCTTTGACAGATGGAATTCGATATAAGAGTAGGCCGTAGTGCCGCTGTCCGGGCAAAATTTCCCTCATCGCACAGTGTATGGCGTCTGCCCGTCTTCATTAGCCCAGTTCCAAGCAGAACAGAAGGACATTAAACCCCATTTCATTTCTTTTCATTTCTTGAAACTAGTTGGGAAGCCCCCCGGTCCCTACCCCATGCCCCCGGCTCCTTCAGCTATGGCTACGAGCATGATTTGCTACTATATTATCTTAGCCCGCTGCCACCGCTGCTTAATATTGAGCGACTTGTTTATTCGACTGAATTATTCGACTGGATTATTCGACTGAAATATTCGACTGGTTTATTCGACTGAACTTTTCGACTGAATTATTCGACTGGTTTATTCGACTGGATTATTCGACTGAACTAACTGACTGATTTTATCGACTGGACGAGGCCACATGAAAATGTCAAATACCTCATCCCCCCCCCACCCCCACCCCACCCCATCCGTTTCTTCGTTTATATCATATATAGGGACTCTATTCTTTTCGAGGCGGACAAGGACAGCTGTCTAGTCTTTCGGATTGGACGAAAAACCGAGGTCCCGTGTCTACATTGGAGTGGACGTAAAAGATCCCTTTGACAGATGGAATTCGATATAAGAGTAGGCCGTAGTGCCGCTGTCCGGGCAAAATTTCCCTCATCGCACAGTGTATGGCGTCTGCCCGTCTTCATTAGCCCAGTTCCAAGCAGAACAGTAGGACGTTAAAACCCCATTTCATTTCTTTTCATTTCTTGAAACTAGTTGGGAAGCCCCCCGGTCACTACCCCATGCCCCCGACTCCTTCAGCTATGGCTACGAGCATGATTTGCTACTATATTATCTTAGCCCGCTGCCACCGCTGCTTAATATTGAGCGACTTGTTTATTCGACTGAATTATTCGACTGGATTATTCGACTGAACTATTCGACTGGTTTATTCGACTGAACTTTTCGACTGAATTATTCGACTGGTTTATTCGACTGGATTATTCGACTGAACTAACTGACTGGTTTTATCGACTGGACGAGGGCACATGAAAATGTCAAATACCTCATCCCCCCCCCACCCCCGCCCCACCCCATCCCCTTTCTTCGTTTATATCATATATAGGGACTCTATTCTTTTCGAGGCGGACAAGGACAGCTGTCTAGTCTTTCGGATGGGACGAAAAACCGAGGTCCCGTGTCTACATTGGAGTGGACGTAAAAGATCCCTTTGACAGATGGAATTCGATATAAGAGTAGGCCGTAGTGCCGCTGTCCGGGCAAAATTTCCCTCATCGCACAGTTTATGGCGTCTGCCCGTCTTCATTAGCCCAGTTCCAAGCAGAACAGAAGGACGTTAAACCCCATTTCATTTCTTGAAACTAGTTGGGAAGCCCCCCGGTCCCTACCCCATGCCCCGGCTCCTTCAGCTATGGCTACGAGCATGATTTGCTACTATATTATCTTAGCCCGCTGCCACCGCTGCTTAATATTGAGCTACTTGTTTATTCGACTGAATTATTCGACTGAACTATTCGACTGGTTTATTCGACTGAACTTTTCGACTGAATTATTCGACTGGTTTATTCGACTGGATTATTCGACTGAACTAACTGACTGGTTTTATCGACTGGACGAGGCCACATGAAAATGTCAAATACCTCATCCCCCGCCCCACCCCATCCCCTTTCTACGTTCATATCATATATAGGGACTCTATTCTTTTCGAGGCGGACAAGTACAGCTGTCTGGTCGTTCGGATGGGACGAAAAACCGAGGTCCCGTGTATATATTGGAGTGGACGTAAAAGATCCCTTTACAGATGGAATTCGATAAAAGAGTAGGCCGTAGTGCCGCTGTCCGGGCAAAATTTCCATCATAGCACAGTGTATGGCGTATGCCCGTCTTCATTAGCCCAGTTCCAAGCAGAACAGAAGGACGTTGAACCCCCATTTCATTTCTTTTCATTTCTTGAAACTAGTTGGGAAGCCCCCCGGTCCCTACCCCATGCCCCGGCTCCTTCAGCTATGTCTACGAGCATGATTTGCTACCATATTATCTTAGCCCGCTGCTTAATATTGAGCGACTTGTTTATTCGACTGAATTATTCGACTGAACTATTCGACTGGTTTATTCGACTGAACTTTTCGACTGAATTATTCGACTGGTTTATTCGACTGGATTATTCGACTGAACTAACTGACTGGTTTTATCGACTGGACGAGGCCACATGAAAATGTCAAATACCTCATCCCCCGCCCCACCCCATCCCCTTTCTACGTTCATATCATATATAGGGACTCTATTCTTTTCGAGGCGGACAAGTACAGCTGTCTGGTCGTTCGGATGGGACGAAAAACCGAGGTCCCGTGTATATATTGGAGTGGACGTAAAAGGTCCCTTGACAGATGGAATTCGATAAAAGAGTAGGCCGTAGTGCCGCTGTCCGGGCAAAATTTCCATCATAGCACAGTGTATGGCGTATGCCCGTCTTCATTAGCCCAGTTCCAAGCAGAACAGAAGGACGTTGAACCCCCATTTCATTTCTTTTCATTTCTTGAAACTAGTTGGGAAGCCCCCCGGTCCCTACCCCATGCCCCGGCTCCTTCAGCTATGTCTACGAGCATGATTTGCTACCATATTATCTTAGCCCGCTGCTTAATATTGAGCGACTTGTTTATTCGACTGAATTATTCGACTGAACTATTCGACTGGTTTATTCGACTGAATTATTCGACTGGTTTATTCGACTGGATTATTCGACTGAACTAACTGACTGGTTTTATCGACTGGACGAGGCCACATGAAAATGTCAAATACCTTATCCCCCCCACCCCCGCCCCACCCCATCCCCTTTCTTCGTTCATATCATATATAGGGACTCTATTCTTTTCGAGGCGGACAAGGACAGCTGTCTAGTCTTTCGGATGGGACGAAAAACCGAGGTCCCGTGTATACATTGGAGTGGACGTAAAAGATCCCTTTGACAGATGGAATTCGATATAAGAGTAGGCCGTAGTGCCGCTGTCCGGGCAAAATTTCCCTCATCGCACAGTGCACTATGGCGTATGCCCGTCTTCATTAGCCCAGTTCCAAGCAGAACAAAAGGACGTTGAACCCCCATTTCATTTCTTTTCATTTCTTGAAATTAGTTGGGAAGCCCCCCGGTCCCGACCCCATGCCCCCGGCTCCTTCAGCTATGGCTACGAGCATGATTTGCTACTATATTATCTTAGCCCGCTGCCACCGCTGCTTAATATTGAGCGACTTGTTTATTCGACTGAATTATTCGACTGAACTTTTCGACTGGTTTATTCGACTGGATTATTCGACTGAACTAACTGATTGATTTTATCGACTGGGCGAGGCCACATGAAAATGTCAAATACTGAAGCGACTAGATACTATGCTGTCATCAGTTTTATGCATCGGACACAGACTTAATTCAAGTTGTTTATATTAGTACGGCCATTGTTTTCAGTTGATGACGTCAGTCGTTGACCCTTAACCCTAGATGACGACCTTACTCGCAAAGAGAGGTCAACACGTTGTTTAGGGTATTGCTATTGGAAGGAAAATCTCAATAAAATTGTGACTTCAACTGTCAGATTTGAACTTGGGGGAAAATAATCAAAATAGACAAAAAACGATGTAATCATAATTGAGTTAGTGCGTTTTTTATTTCAGTCAAACAAACTATTCCCAAATTTTAGCCCAACCATCGACCGAGTTTGTTGACTGGAAATTCTAGTGGTACTTAGGGGTAATTGATTATATCATATTCATTTTGAAATAAATAACTCCAGTGTATCGCACGTATTGTAAATAAAATATAAAAAAATAAATACATGGTATTGTAAAATGATAAATCAAAGTAAAAATTCCCGTAAAATATTATATATTATTGTTCATATCGCGTGTGTCTAGTTAATCGAGGTGCGCCCGATTGAACAAAAATAGTAATACACGATAAAAAGCAGACGAGATCGTTTTCTAACAAAGATTTCTAACGTAACAAAAAAATAACAATTAAAATGAGTGGGGCTTCGGAAGTCACTGTCAAGAATTGGCTTCAGACATAAGACCTAACTAAATGTCTACATCACATTTATAAACTGTCACAAGTACTTGTGGCAGTGCTAAAAAAATCTAAGAATAGTCAGAATGGAATCTAATCATATTTGTTATGAATTAAAGTAATATCTAGGTATTTACACTGAAACTGAAAAACTGCTAATCAATTTTTAAATTTGCTAATCAAATTTGGCAAAATTGGACTTTTTGATTAGCAGTGCTGCTAATCAACTGTGAAAAATTACCGACAGCCCTGCTGCTAAAGACCCCTGACAAGCGAATTATTGAAATTGGATCATAAGGTCTGTGGTTTCGTTCCTCGTTTGTATGTGTCAAGGATTAGGGTAGCCTGTCCAACCTCGTGGGTTTTCTCTGGACCCCCAAGTTACATCCCACTGCTCAAGACTCCTAAGAAATAAACTTGTACCATATGTTAGTCCTGAAATGACTCGGTAAAAGAGAGTGATAATACCCAATGCTTCCATGTAATCGAAGATCCAACACTCCACCCGACCCCACCCCACCCCACCCGATCCGACCCCACATAATGTGTTTGTATTCAAACATTAATAAAGTTTATCATTTCAGGATGTCGAATGGTGGATAAAGTTTAGGAATCCAAACAGTATTATCAAAGATCATTTAAGTTTTTTCTATTGTGAAGTTGCTTTTTATATCATCGCTTTCCTCACTTTCTCTCACGGTAAGTTGAATTAATGTGGGTTTTTTTTTTTATTACCATGGCAACTTGTGTAATCTAGTGACAGGAACTAAAATTTTGTGCCGTTCATTCAAAGTCAGTTAGAGTACAAATTTTGTGATCTTTAGTTATATTTTATTTAGCTTTAAAATTATTTAAATAATCGTAGCATTTAAATGATAATGATGATGATGATGATGATGATGACGTAGATGATGATGATGATGATTGATGATTGATGATATTGATGATAATATATTTTCTTGTCAAGTAAAAGATGCATTATCTAAGAGCTAAATCTGTGTAATGTTGTTAAGTCATTTATTTATATGACAAGCCCCTAATCAAGATGACAGGGATATTAAATGGATTAGAACCCACATGACCTTTAAAATGGATAATCATACTAGACAATCATGAATATTATTATATTTAGGCTAAATCATGTCACAACTTCAAACATTGATAACTTTGCTCAGAATAAATTAGTTTTCAATATTCATTTTTTGTTATCTATGCTTAAACTATTTTAGCAAGAATGAAATCTATCTTAAAGCATCTTTAAACAAACATTATGCAAGAGCTAAATCTGTCTATTGCAGGTCTTTCTTTAGGCCTGAAATGTTATATAAATTATTAATTAGACATTAATTAACTTATCCAGGTCATAATCAACTCTCGATGTCATCGCTAGCCTGCGATGTTTATTGGATTAGAACCCGATCTGCTGCTTCTGATTAAATAAAAAAATGGATAATCGAGACTACCAATTTTAGTAATGATGATCGAGGCTAGGCCGAAAATTCAATGCTAAAATCTCGGTTCAGTGTGGATCAATTTGACTGAAATTTTCAGCAAATTCCCTTTACATTGTCTAGTTTGTAACTACTATAGTGAGAACTACCAGCTCTTTATCTAATCACCTATAGCTGGTAATGTATCTTTAATTGAATTTAGAACTTGACAAACATCATTAAAAAATCATAATTTCTATATATTATTTTTTAGCTTTCCGTGTTGGAGGACGATATAAATGGTTATGGATAGCCTCGTTATTGCACGGTTTAACAGTCGAATGTGTTAGTTATTTTCTACCAGATATAGATAATTTCTGGCACGCACAAAGTATGGTGATGCTTCTAGGACAGCGGCTACCATTACATATTGTACTTCTATGTAAGTAAGTTAGATTTCTATTTAGCCTTATGGGTGGGTGGCGGGGGGCCGAATGGTTAGAGCATCGTATCATTAGGTCTGTCATTGAATCAACTGTATGTTACAAGGTTTAGGGTCACCAGACCAACCTCGTGGGTTTTCTATGGCTCCTCAGGTTTCCTCCCACTGCTAAAGCGAATTATTGAAATAAAATTAAACCTTGTATTAGTCCTGAAATGACCTATTTTGTGTCAAGTGAACATTAAACCATCTCTCTCTCTCTCATTGATATTCTAACAAACTTTATGGACTGTTCTCATGAAATTGCTGACAACTCTCTTCATTACTTACGAGTAGGCCTATGCTATTTATACCCACTTATCATATGCTGAATTCGTTCGGATGAGACAAAGAACCGAGGTCCTGTGTACAGATTGGCGTGCACGTAAAAGATCCCTTGACAGTTGGAATTCGATATAAGAGTAGGCTGTAGTGCCGCTGTCCAGGTAAAATTTCCTTCATAGCACACTGTATGGCGTATGCCCGTCTTCATTAGCCCAGTTCGGAGCAGAAAAGTAGGACGTTGAACCCCAATTCATTTCATTTGATGTGCTAAATGATGGATGCAGATGCAGTAGAGTGCTTAAGGAACTGGCCTTGCGATTACAATGTTTTGGGTTCGGATCCCAACGTGGGCCGAGACAGAGAAGCACCTATGGGATTAACAAGACAGTTTTCCTTTTTGGACACAATAGACCACCCAGCCACATGATGATTGATTTTGTTGTGAACTTTTATTTCAGACCCAGGGTTTATTTACACAGCCGCCATTGCTGTATCTCAGATGAAGTTAAGATCGTGGGCAGAACCATTCGCAGGTGAGTTGTACCATAATGCGTTTCAGCGCCATTTGTAGCAAGGGACTCTAAGAATGAGGCTAGACATATTCCACAAGTCATATCAAACGGTGGCGTCATATTCTTATCTGGAGAGCATGTGCAATAAATACTATCGGTGTAGACTGGAATAACCAAACGCTACAGATTGCCTTTCGATTGAGACTTCTGGTGTATTTCGTCAAACATAACTGATTAGAAATTACAGTAAAAACAGAACCGATTGAATGTAAATCAGTTTATATACATTCATAATACATTATTATATGCGTTGCAACATATAGATAAGATAAGATAAGATGTTTATTGCATCAAAACATCCATTATGTCTAACCATGAGGACTCAGGGTGAGTTAGGGTGGGTAAGACATGGCTGGCTAACCAGGTGCCCTCGGGGTGAGTTAAGGTGGGTAAGGTATGGGTGTCTAACCTGGTGCCCTCGGGGTGAGTTAGGGTGGGTAAGACATGGCTGGCTAACCAGGTGCCCTCAGGGTGAGTTAAGGTGGGTAAGACATGGGAGTCTAACCAGGTGCCCTCAGGGTGAGTTAGGGGGGGTAAGACATAGCTGGCTACCCAGGTGCCCTCCGGGTGAGTTAGGGTGGGTAAGACATGGCTGGCTAACCAGGTGCCCTCAGGGTGAGTTAGGGGGGGTAAGACATAGCTGGCTGGCTAACCAGGAGGTCCCGTGTTCTCTCCTGGCGTGGATTTTCTTTGTCTGTGGGGCAGGACTGAGGGCCTGACAAGGACAAGGTGTAGTCGTTCAGATGGGACAAAAAAAATGAGGTCACATGTAAAAGACCCCTTTACTGTTTGAATTCAAATTATGATTAGGCACTGTATGGTGCATGCCTGTCTTCATTAGCCCAGTCGAAGCAGAAAACTAGGACTTCAAACCCCATTTCATTTCATTTATTGACTTGAAACCATAATTGACTTACAACCACCATAATTATTTGTTGACTGGCAACCATCATCATTGTTGACTGGCAACCATCATTGTTGACTGGCAACCACCATCATTGTTGACGGGCAACCACCATCATTGTTGGGGAGTTGGATGGCCGAATGGTTAGCGTGTGCGCGCTGTATCATAAAGTCCTCCGGTTTCCTCCCGCTGCTAAAAATTCCTACGTGCAAGTGAATTATTGAAATAAAATTAAAACAATATGTTAGTCCCGAAATGACCTAGTTTGTGTCGGGTGGATGTTAAATCCATGTCTCTCTCTCTCTCTCTGTCTCTCTCTGTGTCTCTGTCTCTTTCTCTCTCACCATCATTGTGGACTGGCAATCCTTGTTTTTTTTATTTCAGTGGGCCTAGCTGTAGTGCTGTTAGACATACCTTATGATATTATGGGTATCAAATTACTGTGGTGGACTTGGCATGATGATGACCCAAATATCTATGACCGCCATTACTGGGTTCCTTGGACCAGTTATTACTTCCATGCTGCCTTTGCATCGTCCTTCACCTTTATTTTCAACCATAGTCGCCGATTACTCTGTCAGAGTACTGGTAAATTTCAGTCATCTGGGTGAGTATTGTCTTTTATATTCTGGCTCACTAACCAGGAAGGGGTCACGGTGGCTAAGTGGGTAACTAAGATGCTGGCTCGCTAGCCTGGAGGTTGGATGTTCAATCCCTGCATTTGCCGTTAAAGTTCACCCAGATTTTCCGGCGTGGTTCCCCCTTGTCAGTGATGCAGGACAGAGGGCCTGTCCAGTATAGCTGTCTAGTCATTCAGATGAGACAAAAAAACGAGGTCCCGTGTACACATTGAAGTGCATGTAAAAGATCCCTTGACAGTTGGAATTCGATATTAGAGTAGACCGTAGTGCCGCTGTCGGGGAAGAATTTCTCTCATAGCCCCTCTACATTAGCCAAGTCGGAGCAGAAAAGTAGGGCGTTAAACTCCATTTCATTTCATTTTGTAAGATTTGATGGCAGACGGACATTGACTTAAATTGGTGTAGCCTTAGGCTTTGTTTTTGAAGAGTGCCCCCCCCCCCCCCCCAAAGAAGAACATCTCTCCAAAAAGAACAACAAGATGAATGATGCTGCTTGGGGATCATTTCCTGATTCACCCAAAAAAAAATGATGGTTTTTTTTTTTCTTTATTTCTAGTTGCATTATAGAAACTATTTGTGCTGTTATAACTGGACTATTTTCGATGCCTCTAGGAGTTCTACAGTTTGTACCTATCTATCATTATTTCCATGACCAGTTAAACATCCACACTGAAGTATGTCTGTTGCTATTGTTAGCAACTTACGTAATGATTGTTTGGAGCTCAGATAGAGTGCCGTATCTTAATGCTAGAATAGGCGGTGTTTCAAGTAAGTCTTTTAACTAAGATAATTCAAATTTCATCCAGGCTTGTTGGATGGTGTAATGGTTAGGATGTGTGCGTTTTGTATCGTAAGGTCTGTCATTGAGTCAAGTGGCGTGGTTTTGATTCCCTGGTTGTACGTGATAAGGATTAGGGTTGCCTGTCCAACTTTGTGGTTTTTCTCCGGGTTCTCCGGTTTCCTCCCTCTACTAAAGACCCCTATGCGCAAGTGAATTATTGAAATTGAACCATGTTAGTCCCAAAATGACCTAGTTTGTGTCAAGTGGACATTAAAGCCCATCTCTCTCTCTCTCTCTCTCTCTCTCTCTCTCTTATATATTCTCTTATACGAATTTTCCCACGAATTCACAATCGTAAAAATATTCCTAGCACCTGTTGGAAACATTCATTGCGCATGCCGATTGAACCTGAATACCTAAGTTTGTTCACCCTACGGATCTTTCCGAACCGGGTGACGACGACCTGGACATAGATCGACAGATTATCAATGAACATGTGACACCAAAGACAAGAGTGCGATCAACTGAAGAGGATGAAGATGATAAATTAACGACAGACTTGACCTATTCAAAATGCCTACGCATGTTAAATGAAATAAAAATTAATGTAATAAAATTTTGAATGTACAGACAGTCTGAGAAATGTTTATCATTTTTGAAGGGAATAATGTTCTGGGGATTCAAAGCTACATTATAATAATACTTCCAGTTTTCGAAGTTACAATAATACTTCCGGTTTTGAGAAAACTGAGTATTCCGACACTCTGCGTACGATATTGGATATGACAGAGTCCACTATAATTTCACTATTGTCTTTCGGAGTGTATTCCACTATTGTCTAATGGAGTTTATTATAAATCAACTATTGTTTATTGGACTGTATTATTATCTATGTTACAGAAAGAAGTATATTAGAACTGATTATGATAGTATTATTCCACTATAGTCTGTATATCTACCTGGTAATAACGGAGAAACCTCAGTATATTCAATCTACAGGTTATCATCAATCAATAGGATCATGTACCGAGAAGGTTCCAGTAAAAACACCTTTTGGACAGGTTGGTAGTCACTATTAAAGTAGCTAAGTCTCTAACTCAATATCATCCAAAATCTTCGACATTGAAAACACGATTTATTTGTTGGTTTAAATCAACATTGATGTTGTGATCTTACCGGGAAAAGATGGCCTTCTGATATCCAATATTTAAGACAAAATAAACATTTTACAATTGGTACACGAATCGTGTACCATAATGCGTTTCAGCGCTATTTGTAATAAAGGACTCTAAAAACGAGGCTAGGCATATTCCACAAGTCATGTCAAACGGTGACGCTATATTCTTATCTGGAGAGCAGCCCAACAAATAATATCGGCGTAGACTGGAATAACTAGACGCTAGAGATTGAAATTCGATTGAGAATACTGGCGTATTTCGCCGAACCTAACTGAACCTAATTACAGTAAAAACAGAAACGACTCAATGTAAATCAATTTATATACATTCATATTACATTATTGTATGCGTTGCGACCCATTTGTGTCAATTTCCAGGTCTCAAATATTAGCGACTTAGCTCCTTTAAATTTGTAATCTCGTATATTTCAACCAAATTTTTTATACTCTACAAGACTGTCCTAACAGCACTATACAGTCACTTCAAATTATATAATATTCCAAACTAATTCACTTCGAATTATATAATATTCCATACCGTTGCCGGTCACTACATCATTTGTTTGCCCAGCCGGGTCTATATTGTAAAGCGCTAGATTTTTTAAAAGAGACAAATTTTTATCGAAAATTTTAATTGTATATATCCTGATTTTCTCTTTCATGTTTCAAATATATATACATAAAGTTTGTAATATTTATTTTTATTTGATATTGACTGTGATATTTGTTTTTATGTATTTATATATATATATATATAGATGATATTGTGATTATTTGGTTCTAGTTTGTCTCGTAGCATCACCGTATGTTTGGCACAATATAGCCCGGTTGGAGCTGACGTGCCATTAAACCACATTTCATTCATTCATACTAATATTCCAACCTAATTCAGGTGAGATTGGTTATATCAATATTATCCTGTTGGCAGGGGATCACGGTGGCTAAGTGGGTAAGACGCTGGCTCGCTAGCCTGGAGGTCAGGTGTTCGATCCCTGCATTGGCAGAGAAAGTTCATCCAGATTTTCTGGCGTGGTTCCCCCTTGTCAGTTATGCAAGACGCAGGGCCTGACAAGGACAGCTGTCTATTCGTTAGGATGGGACGAAAAATTGAGGTCCCATGTACACATTGGCGTGCACGTAAAAGATCCCTTGGCAGTTGGAATTCGATATAAGAGTAGGCTGTAGTGCCATTGTCTGGGCAAAATTTCCCTCATAGCACACTGTATGGCGTATGCCCATCTTCATTAGTCAACAGTAGGACGTTAAACCCCATTTCATTTCATTTCATTTCTTTTTATCCCGTTGGCAGCTTCATTTCCCATTGTCAGTGGCGCAGGACATAGAAAGTTTTAGGATCTGGAAGAGTTGTTATATAACCCACATTCTGGATGATGTGAGGGATTAGCCAATGACAAGGTCTGTTACAGCAAGGTTTTCTCTTCATGTGCACGGAACTGTGGGTAACCCACTACAAACATCAACGTTGATTGGTTAATCAAATGTTTGATGTCATAGGGTCAAAAGCCGCACGTATAACCCCTTACGCGACCTTCCACAACAACCGGTCAGATCTGCATGTAGCAGGTAGAGGCCATCGAAAGTATAAAAAAAACCCCGAAATATAGATCTGTAGCTTAATCAGATTGTCAATGCTAGACCGCTGTAATCATCTGTTGTGCACAGGGCCTCAGATTTTTTGTCTCATCCAAACGACTAGATGTTTTTCCATGCTAGGCCTGTGTAATCATCTCGTTAGAATTTTACATTATCTCTTTCTAGGTGTTATCAAAGAGAAAACATTTATGTCTTTTGAATTACGACGAGGATGTGTTCAACTTTAAATGTTTAGACAAACGACCAGCGAATGGCGCAGAATGGTACACAATCTGTGGAACCCCGTATCCTAACCACCTCGAATATATCATCGTAGTCACGGCTTTTTGTGTTTTTGGCCTTTTCTTCTATTTTCAAGCTATGTTGCGTTCGGGTCATCTGTCACCAACGAAAGCGGCAAAGGTCAAACATCATAAAGAGTAGTCGTTTCCATAACTACCGAGCATTAAAAGGGCATGGACAGGGTTTGATTAGTTTAGAAAATAAAATCGCTTGTTTGATTAAATGTGATATGTTTTGTGCAATGAATATAACGTCTCCCCATATTTAAAATAAGGATAGCCAATTTTAATTTTTTGCTGAAATATCACGTTTCTCATGCCATAATCCACACTAATATGTACTGGGATTGATTATTTAACATTTAATTAAGAAAACCAAATCAAAATACCAACGCTAGATAATATCCCGGCTTGGATTTAATTGGATTCAAAACAAGCCCATCAATTTAGTTCACAGCAAATAAAGGTGGTGGCGGCTTATTACATAGGAAGCAGCATGGATTGATGAAATTTCAGTTCAACATTTCGCTGTAAATACAGAAGGGAAAAGAACTCTTTTTGGACTGATCTTCTCAGTAGAGATTCATCCGGGGGTTGGGTGGGCGAATGGTTAATGCGTGCGCGTTGCATCATAAGTTCTGTCATTGACTCAAGTGACGTTGTTTCGATCCCCCCTTCCATCCTTGTACGTGACAAGGAGTAGGGTTGCCTGTTCAACCTGGAGGGTTTTCACTGGATCCTCCGGTTTCCTCCCACTATTAAAGATCCCTACGCGCAAGCAAATCAATGAAATAAAATTGAACCATGTTAGTCCTCGAAATGGTGTTCATTATCTCTCTCTCTCTCTCTCTCTCTCTCTCTCTCTCTCTCAGTATTGTAGTTTGCAAGGGATTCCTATTGCTAACAATGGGGCAATGAGACGTTAAAATTTGACAAAAGTGACTGAACATCATTTGAGATTATGAAAATGAGAAGTCTCAAAGGAAATTCAGTCCAAATTCAGTTACAATTCCATTCAATGTTTACAAAGATATGCCAGGCATATAAAATTCATATATGGCCAACATCCAGTTCATTTGTGCTTGATAACGATAAGAGAATACTTGTCGAAACGTCGTGCTATACTTATAAACCAGTGATTGTATTTCCATATAAACTGTGTTGTGTTTTTAATGTGTTCAATCGCTAAATGCCACTCAAGGATTACATCCAGTTCCCCTTGCAGTCTTTGCTAAAATCATTTGATAGACAAATAAACTATAAGACATACTTATGGAAAAACAGCTACTGATTTATTTAGGCCATGTTTCGTTTAGACGAGTATTCTCCCATTGTTATCAAGCTAATACAATATAACAAAATTTGAAGCAACATATAGAGACAATATATTTTCTTAATCTAAACGTCCCCAAAATAAATCAGTAATTGTTCTTCCATAAGTATGTGTTATAGTTTATTTATCTATCCAGTTACTAAACGCCAATTAAAGAACAGTTATAGAATTTTATTTGCTGTATTGAAATTAAATTGTTAATTTACGATTATTCCAATATTTGTGTTTAAAAATTCCAGAATTATTTTCAAGATTGCTCAAGTTGATGTCTAATTTAATACAAAAAATATATATTGTTTATTGCCTGCGAATGCATATTGGTAATATATTGCAATATTTGTACTTAACGGTATGCATTATATTATATTAATATTTTGTGTGGAAGTACACAGCATGAATTTAAAAGGGTATATTGTTTAATAGTTAAAGGGCATTAGGTAAGAATAGATAAAGAGCTGACAGTTCTCACTATAATAGTTAAAAAATAGGTAATGAAAACAAAATATGCTGAAAATTTCAGTCAAATTGCTTCACTCTGCACCGAGATATTAGCGATTCAATTTTAGGCTATTCTCGGTCGTCAAGACTAACGTTGATATGATAATAAAAATACACAGTCTCGATTATCCATTTTGACGTTAAATTATCCGTTACAGAATGCATTCAAATTCAGTAAATATCACAGGCTAACTATGGCATCTAGAGTTGATTATGGTCTGGCTAGGTTAATTAATGTCTTATTAATAGTTTATATAACATTTCAGGCCTAAAGAAAGACCTGCAATAGGCAGATTTAGCTCTTGCATAATGTATGTTTAATAGATTTATGAGTCTGTTTCTGCTAATGATAGGTTCCTACTGTCGTGCGATGCGTTGCGAAAGGATTGTCCCTATTGAGTCCACCATCTGGTACGTGCAGATACGTTCGGATACGTTTGATACGATCAACACGACTGATAGAAACCTTGGCCCCTTTTTCTCGAAATCTTAACCAAAGTTAAAATCCAAATTTTAGTAGATACTTCAATTTTGATTGGCTAAGCACTAAAATCAATCTAATATTATCCAATCAATTTACTAAAATTTGGATTTTTATCTTAGTTAAAATTTCGCGAAACAGGCCCCAGATAGAAACGATTACAATCTTAACGCGAATCGTGATTGTGGGCACCCAGCATAATCAAATTGGGACTGTTTCTATTTACAAATCTTTTTTTTTTTTATTATATTCCTTACAATGTGATTTTTATTAAAGGTTTTCTTTACTTCTAAGATTTTGTTTTTATAGCCCTGTCTGTCCGCTTGGAGCCATGGGGGCTAAGTGGGTAGGTAAGACGGGATTTTCCGACGTGGTTTCTCCTTGACAGTGATGCAGGGCGGAGCGCCTGTCAAGGACAGCAATCTAGTCGTTCGGATAGGACGAAAAAGCGAGGTCCCGTGTGTACATTGGCGTGCGCGTAAAAGACCCCTTGGCAGTTGGAATTCGATATAAGAGTAGGCCATAGTGCCGCTGCCCGGGCAAAATTTCTCTCATAGCACACTGTATGGCGTATGCCCGTCTTCATTATAGCCCATTTCATCTTCCCGTGGCTCTCGTCCCTTACCATATTCTCCCGGTGCACTCGCCCCTTACCACATTCTCCTGGGGCAACCCCCTTACCACATTCTCCCGTGACACCCGCCTCTTACCACATTCTCCCATAACACTCGTCCCTTACCACATTCTCCCGTGCCCCCCTCCCTTACCACATACTCGCGGGACACTCTTCCCTTACCACATTCTCCCATGGCACTTGTCCTTTACCATGGGTGCTTTAGCATAGGCTCCAGGGGCATTTCGTCCTTACCACCTGTCCACGGGGCACTTCTCCCATACCACATGTTCTTGCATACTCCTCACAGTGTTTCGTTTTGATTAGAGCTAATCTCACTACTCACTGCGGTAAAGAAGCAAATTCTTGTTCTAAATTATGACTGGTCAATAGTCCGATTAACAACCAATAGCTAACTGTGTAACAATACCAAACAGAGCTCCAAATTGGACCAAATATGTTTACATAACGTGACGTCATGACTCACGATTTTATTATGCCCAATTAACCAGTGCATAGCAGAATATTGCAGAAAAACTAATGATGTGACAAACGAGGCTATCAACACGGCTATAATGTAAACAATACTTTAACCGTTTTTAATACCTTAAATCACTGTCCAAAGTTTTAGGGAAGACCCCTGATTAAAAGAAGGGCTGTCATGCTGCTGTACTGGGATAGATTTGATTGAACGGGAAGAAAAGACACACTCCCTCAAAAGCTCAAGTATCAGAAGCTAATGCAGCAATGGCCAGAGGGGGATTTCTCGAGCCATTGCTTCAGGAATATGATGTTCTTGGGACTCTTGTCCCATACCCTAGACTCTCTTACAATCCATTGATTCAACTGGCGTGGTTTCGAATCCCCGGTTGTACGTGACAAGGAGTAGGATCGCCTGTCCAACCTCGTGGGTTTTCTCCGGGTCCTCCGGTTTCCTCCCACTGCTAAAGACCCCTATGCGCAAGCGAATTATTGAAATAAAATTAAACCATATGTTAGTCCCGAAATTACCTAGTTTGTGTCGAGTGGACGTTAAACGCCATCTCTCTCTCTCTCTCTCTCTCTCTCTCTCTTACAAGCCCCAGGGGAATTTGGTCAATGCCCTTTTCTTCAGACGAAATGCACAGATATATGTAGTGTTTGACCCCTGCCTTGTCTTAGAAAGTTCATCAGGATTTTCTTTCGTGATCACCACTTGTCAGTGATGCAAGATAAGCAGTCTGGCAAGGAATAATTAAGTCTTTCAGATTGGACGAAAACCCACGACTCCGTGTACACACTGGCGTGCACGTAATGACCTCTTGGTATATATAGTTGGAATTCGATATAAGAGAAGACCGAAGCGCCGCTGCCATAGCGCACTACATATCTGATCCGCATTCCCAAGTCACAATGATCAAATTAAAATGAACAGCTAACATTGTCACTGGATGACAATCTGCTAACCATTCGTAATAGGAGGGTTGGATGAACAAATGGTTAGTACGAGCGCGTTGTATCATAGGTTCGGTCATTGAGTCAACTGGCGTGGTGGGTATAAACGAAGTTTCATTCCACTAGGACCAACGAGCACTTAGAATTCTTCCATCGAATCAAAATTGTCAAAATTGAGGCAATTTCACAAGGTGTCCCTAAACTTTTGTTATAGACTTTAGGCCCCACAGATGGAATAGCCTTTCTCCGTCCGAATCGGGTACTGTTTACACCATTGTGCACACAGACATAGGCGTACGAGCTGGGGTTGGGCACCAAATGCTGGGAAAAATTTTGGCACACAATTGTACTTTGTAAAAGTTGTATAAAAAAATATTGTGTTCTTGAATGTGTCCAATTTAACAGCGAATTTATTATTATTATGTAACATACTAAGAACCTAACTACATTTTTTGGGCACCAACCACCACCGCCCCCCCCCCCCCCCCAGTCAAAAATTTCCCTGTAAGCCTATGCACACAGACAACTATCTACAGCCTTAGTTTTAGTATCCTGTCCTATCATTTTATTGTCCTGCATATCAGTCATAATGCTGGTGATATGAGTAATAATATCGATTGATTAATAGTTTGATATTTAGAAATGTCAGGAGATAATCTGATAAACAACAATCTGGTTATTGTCTTAATATTTAATGTAAAAGCTAAGGTTTATTTCAGGCTTAGTGATAGAGACTAAAACCAAAATGAAAACACTACGATTGTGTAGTAATTGCCCAGAAATTAACCGTATTAGGATTTGCGCGTGTTCGAACGTTAATAATTAGATTGTTTTTTTTTTGTATGGCAAGTGTCTAGACACTGTAGGATTTAAAGATACTTTCCCAGAAAAGTATATGCGGCCACCGGTTGGCACTTTTAGAAAGGAGTTCTCAAAATGCCAGAGTTGTCCTTTATTGAAAAAAAATGGGATAAACTTGAAAGAAAAACAGCCTCAGACATTGAAAGCTTTGTATGATGGTCTGTCGAGGTTTGCCGAATGCAGAAAAGTAGGACGTTAAACCAAGTTTCATTCAAAGGAAAAACCCGCGGATTCTCAACTTTTTTTCCCCAGGCTCTGTATAACTCGGATTGGCGAGATTTTCTCTAGATAAATTCTAAGACCGAGAGCTCGGTATTGTTTTCAAGAAAGTGTGTCAATTTTGGTATATATGGAATGTATAGAAACCCAATCTTACTAGAAAAATACTGGATTACCTGAAAAACGACCATGGGGCAAGCACTGGGCAAAATTGGCAGGGTATCACTAATTGGCAACCCGACTGTTATCTGCCAGCTTATTGTGTGCCAGCTTAAGTAAGGGAGCGGTGGTTATTTCTTGATCAAATGGTTAGGCGGTTTTGGGAACATGGAGGGGTGTCAACGTACAAAAGACCCTGCAAATAAACGGCGGAAAAAGAAGTTGACAGAAATAATTAAGAATTTACTTAGGCCTCAATATGTATGGTAAATGTACAGTAAGTAATGATAAATACACTCTGAAAAATGGACCCTCCCACAATGAAGCTAAGTCGACAGAAATTGCGTCCAACAACAGCTTACTTATAGCTAGAGGTATCCCCGGCGAATACAAAGTTTTGAAAGGGAATTGAAGCAAATATTTGATAGATTGGTTACTTTGAATATGTTTTTAGTCCAAATATATCTTTAATTATAATACATTTTATTTTATAAACAATACATTTTATTCAGGATGGGGAACGATTTTGTAATTTTTAAGAAAATTAATCTGATCAGGTTATATATATGAGAGAGAGAGAGAAAGAGAGAGAGGGGGGCTACATTTGTTGGTGAAGATAAGGGAAGTAATTGGTGGTCTGCATCCTACATGTTCGAGGTTGTAAGTTGTGCTGTGTTGTCATCAAATGATGCTCTTCTTAGGTCGAGAGTATTCAGGGTTTCTGTAGCGGTGGCTGGACGTGCTGGTGGTTGCTGTCCCACCGAGTTTTCCGGGATCGGGTTGTACAATGTGTAAACTTTAGATCCGAACAGCAGACAAAGAAATATGACGGAATTAGTTATGGAAGCGATGCATATAATGATGGACTGAACGATAAGCTTGTCTGACGTGAAATAACACGCGGGAAAACCTAGCCATAGAACAATAGACGTGTAGACGCAGATGTTGATGAATTTATTCTCGTGCGTTGTATCTATATCCTTGACGTTTCTTCCTTTAATCGCGTGATAGGCGCATAGCAACAAGAGCACCAGGTTAAAGGTCAGTGAACTCAGGAAACCATAGTGACCAAGTTGACAAGCAGACTCCACGTAATTCACATACGGACTCCACATTACTGTCAGCGGTTCCGGTGGATCAAAATGAGCTGACACAACCAAAATGACGATCTACAATAGACAAAGTACATGACATTAGAGGATAGCTAAGTCTCTAACTCAATATCATCCAAAACCTTCTACAATGAAAACACGAATAATTTGTCAATTTTCATCAAAATTGGTGTTGTGATGTTACCGGGAAACGATGGGCTTCTGATATCCAATATTTAAGACAAAATAAACATTTTACGATTGGTACACGAATCGTGTACCATAATGCGTTTCAGCGCAATTTGTAACAAGCAACTCGGGATAACGAGGTAAGACATATTCCACAACTCATGTCAAACGGTGATCCCATATTCTTATCTGGAGTTCATGCGCAATACATACTATCGGTGTAGACGGGAATAACCAGACGCTAGAGATTGCCATTCGATTGAGACTTCTGGCCTATTTCACCGAACATAACTGCTTTGAAAGTAGAGTAGAAACGGAAACGATTGAATGTAAATCAGTTTATATACATTCAAATTACATTATTATATACGTTGCGACCCATTTGTGTCAATTTGTAGGTCCCAAATATTGGCGATTTAGCTCCTTTAAAATATAAAACATGGCAAATGAACCTCCAGAGAGTGAGAGAGAGAAAGAAAGTTTATTGTCCACTCCAGCCAAAGTAGGTCATTCCCGACTAACATATGGTTCAATTTTATGTCAATAATTCGCTTGTGCGTACGGGTCTTTAGCAGTGGAGGGAACCCGGGGGCCCGGAGAAAACCCACGAGGTTGGACAGGCGACCTTACTCCTTGTCACGTACAACCGGGGAATCGAAACCATGCCAGTTGACTCAATGACAAACCTTATAATACAACGCGCATAAGCTAACCATGAAGTGAATAACTTGGTACTTAAAAATCTATGTTTGTTCTGACAACGAGTAGGTTCACCTGCCTTTTCTGGAAGCTCTTCGGTTTCCTGTCATTTATAAATTTATAAGCTCCCTCTCTTATATGCGGATATTAAATAAATAAAAATTAAAAATAAAATAACATGCAATAATATCCAAAGGTATCAATCTCAAAATGGAGTGGGTGATTTCGTACAAGGAGTAGGTACACCTGCTTTACAATGTGAGGTTTCTTTGGGATCTCTCTCTCTCTCTCTCTCGTGACTGCGGTTGTGTGTGACAAGGAGTAGGTACACCTGCCTGACAATGTGAGGTTTCTTTGGGAGCTCTCTCTCTCTCTCTCTCTTACCTGAGTGAAATATATCATAAACGTAAATATGATACTAGGTAATGCTCCTGTAAACTTTGCTTCCATATTCAACAACTGTGCTTTTTGAATTCTATAAATGCGATTAGTCTTCACTAAGAAAGGTCCGTAAGTAAATGTGAAGCTCAGCTGGAAGGCACCGACTACTAGATTACAGGAACCCTGCGTTGGTGGTACTACAGCGGAGAATGTCAGAATATTCGAGGCTATAATACCCATCAACATCAAGAATGACAACTCTTCAGAACTGGTTTCTAGCACGAGAGATTCAATATTCCTCATCAAAATAGCGATAATTATGAACGTTCCGACGATCACCAGAAGCAGCAAAGCACTTATAACAGTTCCCGCCGACCCTGGCATTGATAGCACATTTATCGCTATAGGAAGACATTTAGTCCGTGTCGGATCCGGCCATTCAAACACGCCCCCTTTAGGACACACCTCACACGTGGCCGTGTCATTTTTGAAGAGGGTAATTTCATTAATATTGCATTCTTCACAATACCAACAACAATGTGGTTGCGTAGTTACGGCTTGGTAGCCTGGGTCACATGGGTCGCTGCACGTGGATACCAGAAATCTGTTCGATGACACCGAGGCAGGCGGCCATGTTATCAAATCAGGGTTGAAATAGGTAAAAGATCTGATATTGGTATCCCATAATGCTATTTCATCTAAAGAATATCCATCATTCACCCGCCGTAATGTTCTAACTGTATAGGTGGCACTGCCGTCACCAAATTCATCGAATGACACCGGACCATGTTCACCCTCGAATGTCAAATTACGGATAGCTTTCAACATCTTCTCGGGCTCAACACACTTTTTCTCATTGGCTGCCCCTTTACAACCTTGAATGACGTCATGTAACGCGTACGCGTATGTATACACAGCATCTATAACCAAACTACTGGTCCATAATGGCGAATAATCCGCCTCAAAACTTTTATTTCTGTCACAGAGTTTATCGTTGATACCAGGATAGAATTTACAGTTGTATCTGTTTTCAAAGAATTCGAAAAACCAGGGATTATAAGAACCATTTGTTGCTGTCAGATATTTTAGGGAATTATCAAAACGATTGACAAACCTAGATTGAAAACCAATCGTTAGAGATCCCTGGCCGACATCCTCAATTCCTGTGAAATCCTGCACATTGCCGCCCCATGCATCGGAACCCAACCATCTGAAGTATCCAACGCGTCCTAATCGTGTGACTGAACGAAATAACGTGGCCATATTTTTGTTTGATACCACCAAAACGACAGCTCGAGCACGGGGCACTGTTAGAAGATCTTGTACAACTTTATCAGCGGTTTTGTCTGTCAAGTACCCTCTCACAATCAGCGATATACCCATACAGATACCTTGCTTCTCGGCCAGGTTCTTAAACGCTTTATTAAACTCGGCGCCATAACTGCCTTCTTCGTACACAATAGAGACATACGTCCAATTAAAGTAGGTAACCAAATCGACAAGGACTTCTACTTGAAGCTTGTCCGAAGGAACAATCCGAGAGAAGTATGGGAAGACTCTTTTGTTGCTCAGCAAGGGACTGGTAGAGATGTAGCTGATCTGAGGCACTTTGAACAGCGAGAGTAAATCGGCGGTCTGAACTGCATTTGCACTACTCTCCGGTCCGATAAGACCAATAACATCGTAGTCTTTGAACTTTCCATGGGACATTTCTGAGCTGCTAGCTCCACCTGATGGAGATGGCGTCTGAACGAAATGCAGAGCTCTCGTTAACGAGGATGTTGCTTTGGAGCAGTCATCAAGTATTACAAAACCAAGTGTCCTGTTGGGCAACAGATCATTCCGTCCGTTGATTTCGTCCACGGCGAACGCAATGCTTTCTAGGTTCTGATACACGGCAAATTCACGGATACGATCACCGCACATCTTATCTGGAGAAGTAATATGGACGGAGAGAATAGCCCCTATTTTATAATCACCAGGATGAATAAACGCCACCTTAGGTAAATTACCAGGTTTGTGTATGGTAGCCATAGCAACAAAATATGATATTTGGACCATCAGCACCAACAGGACTCCTGGCAGCGACATACCTGTAAATTATAACACTAATTAGGATCATCATTCAATCCTGTAAAGATACAACAATTTAAAAACACAAAAACAAAATATTTTCTTATAAATTGAAAATCATGTGTGTGTGTGTGAAAATCCGGAATAAAGACCCTTAAATACAAATATGCAACAATTTGCATTTGTTAAATATGAAGCATTGCCGAATAGCCATAACCCAAATGCCTCTCTCCGACATGATATCTGGTGGTAGGATCGGGATTTTCAGCTGAATTCCACCCGTCAAGGGCTTCTACAGGCCACCCTTATTTTGATTTTGAACTGTCAGAGGCATCTTGGGTTTCGTCCCTTTCGAAAGACCAGGCAGCTTTCTTTACCAGGTCGGAAGTCCTGTGCGACTAACAAAGGTGAATCTAAGGAACTGTCTGGACTAATAATGGGGTAAATAATGGTCGAATGATTTGTTATTTTGTTTATAAATGTGATTTGTTACCCGTAGTATGCCGATCGATCGATTTTGAAACTTTTAAATATTAGATATCCGCACAAGTAGGCCTACTGTTGATCATGACTGTCGGTCTGAAACAAAATCGTTTGGATTAAACTGAGCAAATTATGTGGGCCCGGCCGAATGGTGAAAACTGATAAATGTGCTGCGTTTTCAGAGAACTATTCCTTAAAGTTTACTTATAATCTTTCGACCAACTAATATGTTAGCAAGTTTTAAGATTTTATAAATATTTTACACCTACCTCTTATGCTGTTATATCAAATGAACCTACAGACGTATGAGCTGTTACATCATGTAAACCTACAGCTTGTAATGGCTTTAAATACCAAGTGAAACCGTTTAAATAACTTAAAAAGGGAAAGAAATACAAATACGCAAATTGACAAGTCAAATTTGTTTGAAACTGAAATCAGAGACATCCTTCTTTCAAGTCAAACGAGGAAAGTCTTTAGACCATAGTTGATTGATGCAAATTAATATCTTAGTTATTTCCTTATTTTAACGAGTTTCCTTATCTCTAACAATTAATTGCATCCTCTAATTTGGGCGTTGACACTTTAACATGACGATAAGCGATGTTTAGACAAATGACCAAAGATTATAAGGTACATCCCACACTGATCAGCAGTGAATATTCGCTAGGCCGCTACAATGCAAGGTTAGGATTAGCCATACCGAGCGCGTGGTCATCCAGCGAATTCCTTATTGCATGCTAGCTTGATTCGCTCTTATTGCATGGTAAGCCGTCTTATTGTATGGGGACTTATTGTATGCCAGCTTGATCTCTGCCCATTGGCCTTGTGGACTGATGGCGTAAATTATTAATTTAGATCCCATATAAAGTATATGTTCTAATATGCTAAGTTCTATTATGCATTTGTCTATTATGCAAAATGCAGAATGGAGAAGTGTAATGTGTAAAATAACTATTATACTGTATTTAGTATTATTGAAAAGTGTATTCTGTATTTTAACACTGTGACATTGATATTGTGGAGCAATGGAAATTGAAAATTCTAAAACTAAAATACGTGTTTTGAACTGCTGACATGTTTATTTTGTGAAATAATATTATTGGCAACGTTATCCTTCAATACATAGTACAATGCACGGCGTATGTCCGTCTTCATTAGCCCAGTCGGAGCAGGACAGCAGGACGTTAAACCGTATGTCCGTCTTCATTAGCCCAGTCGTAGCAGGACAGCAGGACGTTAAACCGTATGTCCGTCTTCATTAGCCCAGTCGGAGCAGGACAGCAGGACGTTAAACCGTATGTCCGTCTTCATTAGCCCAGTCGGAGCAGGACAGCAGGACGTTAAACCGTATGTCCGTCTTCATTATCCCAGTCGGAGCAGGACAGCAGGACGTTAAACCGTATGTCCGTCTTCATTAGCCCAGTCGGAGCAGGACAGCAGGACGTTAAACCCAATTTCATTTTTATTTATTTTCAGACAAGTAAACTGTTAAACCCCATTTATTTAGTTCCTCGCTGAGCTGAAGGTTCCGTGTTCGATTACGGTGTTGGTCGGGAAAGTTCATCGGTTTGGTTTCCCCTTGGCGGTGATGCGGGACACAGAGCCTGACAAGGAACAGAGTTTAGTCGTTCGGATGGGTCGAAAACCCGAGGTCCCGTGCACGTAAAATAATCGATATTAGAGGAATTCTATATAAGAGTAGGTCGTAGCACCGCTGTCCGGCCTATTTTTCACCGCTGTCCGGCCTATTTCACCAAGATTCCCAAGCCACAATGATCAAATTAAAACGAACAGATCTACTACTCATTTGTAATAATTTTCACGTTTTGAGCATCGCACCCAATCCCGAACTCATTCATACAGCACCGATACTTTACACGCCGTTTATGTGGATCCTCGTCTATAGATACATGTATCATTTAGTTTACCTATGGGCTTGACAGGCTGAAAACTAAGACCTCATAATCTTGTGTACCTTAGGCCAATATGTATTGTGTTTAAAACACACGCTGATCTTCCTCGGGTCGAAAGGGTAATGGATTGGGTGGGAGAGTGTCATATAGTTGTTATTACATGTAGTTAGTTCTCTCCTACAATATTGGAGTCCATTCCCTTTTGTTGTGAGTTATTTCCCTTTGTTAATTAAATGACCCGTGACCTTTTTAGTGAGAGGTGAAACAAAGATGGAGTCGTTACTGAGATAGCTTAAAGAAACCCAAGAACCTCGGAATTACACCCCATTAACCGATCCCAACACATCACATGGTGGAGATGCCATTTGTCGTCATCGACTGATGTCGCCTATTTTTGGTGACTGTCATTTTGGCTGATGTTCGACATTTTCTTACTGAGGTTTATTATCGCGGGGCCGGAAGAAGGCTGATTTTTACAGTTTGTTGAACCGAAGAGTCTCATTGCTTGATTCTCGAGTTGTCTTCTGGAAATAGTAAAGGTATCCAAGAACATCGGGATGCCGCCCCATTATCCGATCCCATCACCACATGAAAGAGACTATTGCCTCTCTTCATTTATTCCCTTTTCTTACTAATTTAAAAATTGTTTTAAACTTTATCTTGCAGAAGAAAGAAAAATTATTATACAATGTCAAGAGCCAATCATACCGCCCATATGTCATCCCTTTCAAATATTTACTGCTAAAGAGTCTGTAGCTTGTTGCCTTTCTTCGTGGGGGGGTTGGATGGCTGAATGGTTAGCGTGCGCACGCTGTATCATAAAGTCTGTCATTGAGTCGACTGGCGTGGTTTCGAATCCCCGGTTGTACGTGACAAGGAGTAGGGTCGCCTGTCCAACCTCGTGGGTTTTCTCCGGGTCCTCCGGTTTCCTCCCACTGCTAAAGACCCCTACGCGCAAGCGAATTATTGAAATAAAATTAAACCATATGTTAGTCCCGAAATGACCTAGTTTGTGTCGAGTGGACGTTAAACCCCATTCTCTCTCTCTCTCTCTCCTTTCTTCGCCTGAATCGGGCACTCGTCCTGTCATATCATTTTATTGTTCCGTTTGAATAAATCATGAGCTATGCTGGCTATATGAATAATAAAATACATTGATTAACAGATTCATATCTAGAAATGTCAGGAGAAAATCTGATAGCCAGCAATCCGGTTATTGTCTTAATATTTAATGTAAAAGCTAAAGTTTATATGAGACTGTAAATTTGTAGAGATTGTCCAGATATTAACCATATTAGTACTGGCGCGTGTTTAAACGAAAATGAATAGATTCTATTTTTGTATTCGGTTTCCAGAAACGGTAAGACCTATTTTATAAAGATTATGTAATTTATAAGAAAGTTGACTTTATAGGCTTAACGCGTAGGCACGTGGTATAAGAGCATGGTGGGGTATCTTGGACAGGACAGGTGCGTAGGAAAACAAGGCCAAATGAGAGTAAGGATACCCTGGAAATACAAGAATATCCCTTTTTTTAAATGTTATTTTATTATTGAAATACACTGTGCATTTATATATACATAACTGAAATATAAACAGTATTACACACTAAAAGGACACACACTAAACCGTAATTACCACGCCACACTACCCCCCCCCCCCCCACACACACATACACACACCAACCACCCCCTGAAAGATGGAAGAACAAACAAATAAAACGAAATGGGGTTTAACTTCCTACTTCCCGTGGAATTTTCTCTGCCAACATCGTGAGGGAACGCAAGACCTCCAGTCTAGCGAGCCAACATCTCACTCACTGAACAACCGATGACTAAACAGAACCATGTCTGGGAACAATCTGATTCAAACACAGAGCTGATTTCGTTTCGTTTTTTTATAGTTCAAAATTTTGTTTTACTTGTCTTTACTACGGTAGGATCTGGAAGAGTTTTTATATAACCCTCGTTCTGGATGATGTGAGGGATTAGCCAATGAGGTGCACGGAACTGTGTTTAAACGCCAGCGCTGATTGATTAATCAATATCTGACGTCATAAGGCCAAAAGTCGTTCGTATCACACCTGACGCGATCCTCCACTACAACTGGTCAGATCTTCATGTAGTGTAGGCTATCAAAAGTATAATAAAACAAAACAAAACGAAATATAGATCTGTATTTTAATCTGATTGATCTGGGAATGTATTTAAAAGTGAGCGTGTCTGGGCATGGATATAAAAGTAATCGTGTCCGTGAATCCGGGACACCTTAACAGTAGTGTAGTCCACTGAGAAAACCAGTGCACTTGGACCCCAACCTACACAACCCCTCACAGAAATAAAAATGTAAATGATCGATAACATTCAACATATTTTTATTATAGTTTAACAATATTAGTGTTTAAACATTACAAAATATACGGTGCATCAAAGGTTAATCAATACAAACGTTTGAACAATATATCATGAGCCTAGAAAAACACAATCATTTCAACATACATTGATTAGCATGGTACACGGGCATCTGCTTTACGACCGCCCTGCTGGGAATGATTGGGTTTATCTAGAAAAGAGACGAAACAAAGAGAGGGTGGGGCGTTATGCATAAGAAGAACTGCTATATTTGGTGGAGATGACAGAGGTTGGAGCAAGTCCGAGTCGAATCCCGAGTCGCAGCACCTTGAGTCCGAGTCGAGTCTTTGTCACTGACCAGTGCGTGTCCCATTCACGTTGCCAACGAATGAAGCAAGTCAGAGTTATGCCCCCCTCGCCGCGACTCAAGAAGTAATAGATATGTCAAGTCGACATATATCACCTCGGTGGAAGCGGACGTAAAATACAACTAACTAACAACATCAAGTCGAGTTGTAAGTGACTCGAGTTTCCACCTTTGGAGATCAGGGCAGTCTGCATCCTACATGTTCGAGGTTGTAAGTTGTGCTGTGTTGTCATCAAATGATGTTCTTCTTACATCGAGAGTATTCAGGGTTTCTGTAGTGGTGGCTGGGGGTGGTGCTGGTGGTTGCTGTCCCACCGAGTTTTCCGGGATCGGGTTGTACAAACTGTAAACTTTAGATCCAAACAGCAGACAAAGAAATATGGCGGAATTAGTTATGGAAGCGATGCACATAATGATGGACTGAACGATAAGCTTGTCTGACGTGAAATAAGAAGCGGGAAATCCTATCCATAGAACAATAGACGTGTAGATGCAGATGTTGATGAATTTATTCTCGTGCGTGGTATCCATATCTTTGACGTGTCTTCCTTTAATTGCGTGATAGGTGCATAGCAACAAGAGTAATAGGTTAAAGGTCAATGAACTCAGGAAACCATAGTGACCGAGTTGACAAGCAGACTCCACGTAATTAACATCCAGACTCCACATTACTGTCCGTGGTTCCGGTGGATC